GGGGTACTTGAAATGGTTCTACGCAACTGTTGCTCAGTACAATAATCCATTCAAACGTCAAATGGAAGTGTTATGCAATGCCATTGATAGAGCTTCTCCAAGAGATGGAATTCTTCGGAAAATTTTCACAGGCCTCGTCGCTCTCATCGGAAATTCCACATGCTACGTGAATCCACCTTATCAAAGTTCATCTCAAACTGATTTGGATTGGCATTGGCAGGTATACAATATAGTATAAAATCATGAACGGATTTTAGTTTACGACTTTCAGTTGAAATTGACTCAAATTGATCATGGAAAAAACCAGCGGTAACTCCAGACTCGATTGATGAACGAACAACTCCAAGATGCGGCAATTGATGCCTCTTATATATCTGAGCAGAGTCTGTGTAGTCTAATGATCGAGCAAAGTAGCTCGTGAATAGTTCAACTCGTATATCCTAATTGGCTCTACCCAATAGTAATATGCTTAGTAGATTAAGAGTCAACAAACAATTTCGAACTCTTTACCCACCTGTGCATGGCCGAGTTGATGGGCGCTTTTCTTCCCTCCTCAGAGGTTCTGGGTTCGAATCTCCGCTCGGTTCCGTAATTTAAGTGGGGGGCCCTGGCGGTAGGTTGCTGGGCTAGTCTCCTCCGAGGTATAAGCGCCCCGATTACCTGAGCGGGCTCGTCCCCGGGGAATGGTGGCGGATCCTCGATTACCAAAAAAAAAAAAAACAATTTCGAACTCTTTTGCCATAATTAGTTAACTTCGAGTTTTTCATTGGACTAACAAGATGGAGGTCGTTTGGCTTTGCAGACATGTAGCGAGATGGTGATTCCCATAGGCATCACCAAGATACTATGTTTCAACCAAAGCCCTTCGACCTAAATAGCTTCACCAATGCCTGCAAGAAAGATTCGGCGTCACACCTCGGCCACATTGGGTCACTACTTACTACGGTGGTCATGTACGATCAAAGAATTCATATATTTAGGAGTCTCCTTTAATTATTGTGTTGTTATCTATATAACTTTCTTTTTAACCAAACAAAGTATAACACTCTTTAATTCTTCATTGACAACGAAAAATTGCAGGACATAGAACTTGTTCTGCACAAGTCCGCTAGCAACATTAGTTTCTCCAATGGGCTTCAAGATCCTTATAGCAGTGGCGGGTACGTGTAGAATTGAAACCTGTAGATTTCTTTAAAAACATCACTATATTAACTGAGATTTCAAAATAACTCATATATATCATCAACTATAGGGTCTTGAAAAATATTTTGAATACTGTCGTCGCGGTCTACACAGCTAAAGGTACGTGTCGACTAAATTCGCGTCGCATCAAAATCAAATAAAATGGATTATCTTTCCATATTTGGATTTATGGAAGCTAATTGAATTATAGAAATTGATTTTGTTGACGTAGTTTATTATGTATAGGTTCTCATTGTTTGGACATACTTTCGACTACAGAATTCGATCCTGAATGGTTGGTCAAGCAGCAGAAAATTGAGATTGAGATTATAACAAAGTGGATTGCTACATACCTTGCTGATCTTCACGCTTTGGGAGAATAATTAATATATATCACATGGGAAAGTCATCACATGGTACAATGATAATAGCATAGTAAATAAAACCAGAGTTGTGTGTTTCGTTTATGTTCTTGTGAGAAGGATGTGAAATTTGTGTCTCTGTGTGTGTGTGGATATGTTAGGCCTTTACAGAATGGGAATGACCTGAAGAACTAGCTGATATCGTTGTATCCACCAATGTATCCAGTGATAATGATATGCAACGGCATTGGTGGAGTAAATACTCTTGAAAAATGGCATTCTTTGCAAAATATTTGCAGGCGTTGTTGCCTATAACGTGAACTCCGCATGCTACCTCAATCCTCCCACTTAGGTATATCAAAAGCACTTTTGGGTTTGGGGTGGTAGGTACAATACTCTACATCATCATCGTTAAGCATTAAAGGACGCCAATGGGTCTCGATTGTTTGGGAGGGTTTGGATATTGCGTTTCGAGGTCACGGGTGGATTCGAACCTGGTTGAGTTGAATTTACCTCGAAGTGGACAGAGTTAGGAAAACTGATCCCTTTTTTTGCGTCCGAGTGATCTTACAATTACGATGGACTTGGGCAATGATCGTTTGTCCCAATACAGGGATGATTAGGTCTATGTTCAGGCCGATCCAAGAACACCTATCAGTCAAGACTATTTTAATTGCACTATCCCCTTCTTGAAATCTTCCTTGCAAAATTTGGTAGGGTCTAAGAAAACGTTACACTTCTATAGAACTAAAAGGGGGACTTGCTTCCAGAGCTGCAGCGAAATGGTATGCCCCATAGGTATCACAAACAATCGAGTCTATGTTCCAACCAGCGCCTTTCATCTTAACAAGATTCATTGATGAATGCAACTACTAATACCACCACGCCTCGCCCACATAGGTCACTACCTACTACGGTGGTCATGCATGATTTTCGGTGACTCGGAAAATATATTTTTTGGCTCTTATTTCTATTAGTAGATTAGACTAGTTTCTTTGCATAAAGTTTAAAGTAAACCTTACCATTATCGTCCTCCACTTCTTCATTTTTTTTATGTTTTTGTTGCAAGATATAGAGCTAATTCCTCGTAGGTTTGGCAGAAACATTAATTTTCTCAAATGGAGATCTAGATCCTTACAGTAGCGGAGGGTATAAAAACTTGTATACGTATCTCCATACATCCATTCAAATCATAAATTTTTACACTATATAATCACGATTGACAATTTGATCTCTTTTTCAATCTTAGATCCTGAAGAAGAATTCAGAGGGTATAGTTGCTATCTATACAAAGAAAGGTACAAAACCAGGCCATTTTATTTGTTGCTTGCAACTTGTCTTAAGTACCCGTGAATCTCTCAAGAGAAGGAAATCTACACAAATTAGAAATCTAACCCCAAAGAGGAAAGTACTTTTATAATTTCTTGCTCGTATGGGCTTCAAACCATTGCCCCTATTTTGACTTGAATTTTCCACTTAGATCAAATTTCCATCAAGGGCTCGAACTCGAGATATATTCCCACCAATGGTTATATGTTTTGCAAGTTCCCGTTGTTTGGATTTATTACCAAAGATGCAAACCGATCCGGACTGATTGCTTATGCAACGAAATGCCGTCGTGCGTGTTGAGAAAATCTCCTAATTAGTTTTGAAGATCGACAAAACATTCCATAAATTCTTATTGAGTTTGACTTGAATATTTTCAGGTAATATTCTAGCTCTGAGTATTCACAGTATCCATTCATACTCGTCAAGGCTCAACGTTAACTTATACACATCTCAACAGTTAGTAATCTAGCATAGATTTCTTAATTAATATATTATTATCCAAGATTCCTTTATAATGATCTTTAGATAAGAATTTGATTTGATGATCAATCTCGTCATGATATTCTTTCTAAATGAAAGTCTCAACTTATGGAAACTTTGATTTGATTATATGGGTAAATGAATCATCTAAGAGATTCTAATTTGCTTATCCAATAGCTACCGAATCTTATTTTGATGTTCTTATCCAACAAAAGTATTGGAGAATGATCCTCTGAATACTGTACAACGGCTATATTGGAAGTGGATGAGTATAAAAGGATATTATTGTGCTGAAGAAATATGCGACATCTTGAATCTAAAATTCCAAAGTATTGAGAGCTTCAATCATACATACTTGACATTCTTGAGATTGACTTTGTAATCTTCAGAGTGGTTCTAAAGGGGAGTAACTCTGATATTGTCAAAGAGAGTGACTCTGAGATAGTGAGACCAAGAGTTTACATCCTCATATGTATCTGTTGATTGATTCATTAGTGAAATCCCGCCAATAGGCTATCTGCATAGAGAGTGGACGTAGACTTACTATAAGCCGAACCACTATAAATTTGTGTGCAAATTCTCTTGTCCCTAAACTCTTATTGTTGTGTTCGACCAAAAAAAAACTCTTATTGTTTGTTTTTGCGCACTAGTATTCTACATCTGATTATTGTTTAGATTCTGATTTATTCAGACTCTTACCACACTCTATGTAACAGTATCTATCTTGATTGTTTCAATTCCGCATTAATTGATCCAATTAGGTCATAATTACCTATTCACCCCCTCTAGGTGGTTTTTACTAGCAACCTCAGTGTGGATAGCCGAATTTATGCCGATCTTCTTGTGTTGAAACGATGATGTATTGAATTTTTATTACAGAAAATATGGATGATGAATTGATTCAGGAAGGCCATTTCAATAATAGATAAGAACAAAAGACAAAGAAACAGTCACTGTGTTTCTTACCAAAAAGTTATCCTTGTGTTTCTTTGTTCCATTAGAACGAGCAAAATTACTTCACCCAATTTTATATTTAAATAATGTACTCGACAGCAAACATCCAATTAATTTTAGACTCCGGGAAAACATTGGAAACTGCTGGTCTTTTTTATTGATTAAGCATAGATTTCCAGTTTATTTTGGTTTTCCAATTCAGTGGATCCACATTCACTTGCAACCTTAGGATCAGTTCTATTTTCCCTCCCAATAGTTTAAACTGATTTCAGGAAATAACAGTTTGTTTTAATATGGTACCAGAGCAAAAATCAATTATTCGAATCCTGACACTCCCTCTCAATTTTCGCCGACATAATATTCCTAATATCTTATCGGTTTTCCCATTCCCCGTGATCATCTTGAGTTACGTTCAAACATTGTTTTGCACATGTACGGAACCAGCTTAGGCGGTGTTAAGTAATACGTTGTAGATGCATTATTTCCCTTCCTAGCACTCTAAACTTTTTGCGAAATTATTTTTGAACGAATTGACAATCAAATCCATTCCAAACATTGCACAAATTCACCCGTGTTTGGAGAATTCCTTCGTGCGGTTGAAGAAAGAACTCTCCAGGCGATCCTTTCTCGTGCGGCTTCAGGAACTCGCTCCACCGTCTAGCCAAGAAGGTAATTCTTTGGTACGGAAATCTTGGATAGTTTATCTCCAACAAGGAAAGAAATCGTTATGTGAATTAGTGTGACCGTCAAGAAAAGAAAGTTTAATCCAAATAAGGAAGTTGTCCATTGGGATTTTCACAGAAAATAAGAGTACAAACTGGGATCGCGGGTTTCTCCATATGAAGGTCAATTAAGGTGAAATAGTTCAAAAAACATCGCGAGGATCGTCCTCTTCACATGCCTAAGCAATTACCAGACACCCTAACATGTCTTCATCACATTATAGCCTTTTGATCATTCTGATAGCTTTCTCAGCTTGTGTTGCTACCGGGAAGAGTTACTACATTCCGAAACTGAGCGTACTCCGCCGAACATTTATTCAAGATCCTACACGGGTGGTTCGAGCAAAGGACTTCCAGACTTTCTTTTACAACCAAACCCTAGATCATTTCAATTACAGGCCTGAAAGTTACACTCTTTTCAAACAAAAATATGTGATCAATTTCAAATATTGGGGTGGCGCGAATGCAAGCGCCCCGATCTTCGTTTATCTCGGTGCAGAAGCAGCCATCGACGGTGACATAGGCGGTGTCGGGTTCCTCATGGATAATGCGGCTCACTTTAGAGCACTTTTATATAGAGGTAATAAAAATGCCCCGTGTTATTTGCCTGCTTGTACGTTATTTCTCCATTATGTTGAAATCTACGAAAGTAAAGTTGAAATCTTGCAGCATCGGTTTTATGGTGAATCAATCCCATATGGGTTGACACTCGACAAAGCACTAAGTGACCCCAACACTCGTGGATATTTCAGCTCAGCACAAGCTCTTGCCGATTACGCGGAAATCATTGTATACCTAAAACAGAAATTGAATGCCAAACATTCTCCGGTAATTGTCATTGGAGGATCATATGGGGGAGGTAAGTGAATATATTTTCACATAGCAGCAATATGACTACCGCTATAAATCGAAAGTGAAGAAAATAGCCCACCACTTACATTGAAGAGGACAATTTTAATCTGCCGAGGGTCATTGTTCTTGAACATTTCATGAATAGAGTTTTTCCTTGAGAGTGCTAGTCTTATTGACAACGACAATCCCTATAAAGTTTGATAGCTTGCCCTGAATGGCATCGAAGAAAGTTCCTACCGTCCGGTTAAGAGGAAACCGTCGACGGCATGTATTCTACATATCACTTATAAGTAGGTCTTTCAATCTTAATATATTTAATTTTCAGTGTTAGCTTCATGGTTTAGATTGAAGTACCCTCATGTGGCACTCGGAGCTTTGGCATCATCCGCTCCAATTCTCTACTTTTACGACCTCACTCCTCATGACTCATACGCTTCAGTAGTCGCAAAAGATTTTTTGGTAATCTTAATTTGCTCGATTTATTCCTTTTTTTCCTTGACCATGCATTTTCTATAATCAAATCGATCACTTGAATAATTGTTTGAGTAAATTTTCAGGAAACTAGTTTTTCTTGCCACCAAACCATAAGAAGATCCTGGGAAGAAATTGATAGAGTTGCTTCTGAGCCTCGTGGTCTCACGAAATTGAGCAAAACTTTCAAAACTTGCAGGTGCGTGGATGATGGAATTGAGATCATGCAGCATCTTGTATTTTGGAGACATGAAGTATTTTCTATAATATTAGTAATTCTTAGAAAATAAAAAGTTGTTAGATATATCTAATTAAAAATTTATAGCGTACACCAACGGTGAAAAGAACCTTTCCACAAGTGGTTTATCCATTCTTGATGTGAGAGTTTCAGCTATCGACTCCCTCACTTACCATCAAATTTAGGGCGGATGAGACCGTTTTTTACGCTGACAACTTATTCTACAATAAAACGAACTTTCACTAAACAAAGTGATTGTGTCTAACATTAGTTAATGGTTTTAAGCTCCGATATTAGTTTAAAAGTAGAAAACACATGTTTTATAGACGAATTTACAATTAATAATGCACATTTTTGTCTCTTTTTAGACCATTGCGAAGTTCTTCAGAGCTCAAGGACCACTTGATAGGGGTCTACGCTGGTGCTGCTCAGTACAATGATCCATTCAAACGTCCGGTGGAAGCGATATGCAATGCCATTGATGGAGCTTCTCCAAGAAATGAAATTCTCTGGAAGATTTTCGCAGGCCTCGTCGCATCCGACGGAAATTTGACATGCTACGTCAATCCACCTTCTCCACGTCCATCTCAAACTGATTTGGGTTGGCCTTGGCAGGTACACAACACAAGCCAATATCATGATCAGATTTTAGTTTACTACTATCAGTTGAAATCGACTCGGATTGATTATGAAAAAAAGAAGAAGCTAATTTCAAACTCGAGTCATGAACGAACAACTCCAAGATTCGGCATTATATGCGTCTTATATTTCTGAGCAGAGTCTATGTAGTCTAATGATCGAGCTGGAGTAGCTCGAGAATAGTTTGATTCATTTAAGTCCTAGTTGGCTACACCTAACAGTGCTGTGCTTAGTTGGTTGAGAGTCACGAACACAAGTTCCAACTTTTTCGCCATAATTAGTCAACCTTCGAGTTTTGCGTCGTTCTAAGAAAATGGAAGTTTTTTGGCTTTGCAGAGATGTAGCGAGATGGTGGCTCGTGAGGACAGCATCAACAATACTATGTTTCAACCAGAACACTTTGTTCTAAATGAGTTCGTGAATGACTGCAAGACAAGCTTCGGGGTCGCACCTCGGCCACATTGGGCCCCTACTTATTACGGTGGTCATGTATGGTCACAAAAATAAAATTATATATAGGATACTTCTTTAATTTTCATATAGTTACATATAATTGTTTATGCTGACACTCTTTAGTAACTTCAATGACTATGGAAAATTGCCGGACATAAAACTTGTTTTGCACAGGTTCGCGAGCAACATTATTTTCTCCAATGGGCTTCAAGATCCTTATAGCAGGGGTGGGTATGTAGAGCATCAAAACCTATAGATTTCTGTGAAATTATCATTGAACTGGACAAGATTTCAAAATAATTCATATAAATCATCAAATGTAGGGTCTTGAAGAATATTTCAGATACTATCATCACCGTCTACACAGCTAAAGGTATCTATCAAACTTGATTCATGTCGAACCAAAGAAATGGTATGGATTATCTTTCCATCTTCGGTTTTGATTGGATTATTGAAATTAATGCTGTATAAATAATTTCTTACATGCAGGTTCTCATTGTTTGGACATACTTCCAGCTACGGAAAAAGATCCCATCTGGTTGATCAAGCAGTGGAAAACTGAGGTTGAGATTATAAGAAAATGGATCGCCACTTACTATGCCGATCTTCGTGCTTTTGGAAAATAATTAATATACATCACACGGGAATGTCATTATATTGAATAATGCTAGTAGTGTTGAGAATAAGGATTAGAGTTGTGTGCTTCGTCTATGTTCTTGTGCGAAGGGTTAACTGAGATATCAAAATCATTAAACATAAAGAAAATGCTCATATTGTCGGGAAATGGTCTTGACGTGTTGTTGTAACTTACCGTGTGTAAAAGTGGTTCATGGGTTAATTGTGTGTACTAGTTAATTATATTAGTAAATAGGTGAACATACGTCGGCACCAAATACGTTAACACATTTGATAATTGCGTTAATTGTGTTATGTCGTGTGATCTGCTTCATATGGCATGTCATGTTCATGTTGAGGCAATCGTGTCTTGTTGTTCGGGTTAGCCATATTCGTGCTATACCATTGTTTCGACATAACACGATTAGCACGATAATAACACAAATTGCCAAACCCATTTGAAATAACACCACATTTATAGGCTATTACTAGATCTGATCACGAGTCACCGGCTTATCAGGTGGCTTGCCCAAACCAAGAAGGCTTGAAACTCAAATTGGGTGGTTGATTTTATGAAAAGGACTTTTGATGCCGTTACACGACTCGACCGACTAAACTTCAAATTTTCTGTTACTTTCCTTGCTTTGTCTATTTTCTTGATCTTTATAACCGATATTGTTTGATATATTAAATCTAAAATTGTGTCCGACTTTCAATCATTTTTTGTGTTAAATTTTATGGAACCACAACCAACTGTTCTAAAAGCTTAAGCTATTAGACGAAGTCGTGATTTAATATTTAATTAATCTAACAGACCGTCCCCTGGAATTAAGAGATGGGGCAAATGTAGTTTGATATATAAATTCAGTTAAATCTCTTTATAAGAAAAATACACAATCGATTTCTTGCATAAAAATGTAGAACTTCGATTCACGCGGTGTTCCTCGGAAGTGGAAAAGGATAGTTAATATTTTCTTGCTTCTTGAGTTTTCAATGAGGTGGTATGCTAGGTCGATTTTCATGGACACTTCTCACATGAGAAACCACACTTCTCAAGCTACGGAAATCCAACCGTCTCCCTAATTAATGAACCCCTACTATTTATCGGCCAATCCAATATATATAAGTAAGCAACTTTCATTCATAGATGCTTTGAAGTAGAGTTAGGCTCGACGTTGTGAGCTCAATCTGATCCTGGCCGCCCATATGAGCAAGTCTAGTGGGACCGTAGGTGATATTGCTGATCGCAATACTTCAGTGGAAAACGAATTTTTCATGGCTACACCAAGCAAAAATCTCGTTGGAGCTTTTTTGATGGATCGGATTGCAACCTAAGGTATTGGAGCTTTAGAAAATGAATTATAAGTGTGTAAGTTACAACACATCGCAATACCATCTAAACACAGTACAGTTGCATTTGTTAAGAATGTTCCACCCAAAAGTTTAAGCTATTAGGTAGGGGGAGATCACATGTATATAAAGAGTGTATAAGATACGTTGACAAGCGACACCTCCTCTCACGTGTAGCTGGATTAAGAGCAGCACGTGGTATTTGACCACAGCACGTGGAACTAACAAGAGTGGAAGCACATAGGCGAAACAGATAGCACCGGCTTTGATATTAAGAAAACCTAACCCAAAAGCTTAAGCTATTAGATAGAAGAAGACCACATATATATAAAGAACGTATGAGATCTGTTGCCAAGCAACGTGGGACAATATTTCTACAACATTTCTGTCACAGCTATATACCAAATGGACTCTTAGATCGATTTCAAACCAATTAGGCATCATGCAATTCTAGAATGAACTTTGGTGAGAAATTCCTTGGGACAGATTTGGGGTTATATTTGTCCCGTTCATGAACACAGTGATGATCCTAAATCGCCATGGTTGCAAGTCACTTGACCAATCCAAGCGCTTCTTGCCCTCGTTCAGACTAACAATTTTTTTAGTGTGCTCGTGATTCAGGTCGAATGAAAATCAAAGCTCCTTCAGTGTGATTTAAATTAGAAGTGGAACCTTAAGAACCCAACAATCTTTAGAAGATCAACATTGACCGTAAATTCTGGTCAAAGCAAAAAGAAAAGTTAATCGTAAAAATGAAAGGATACTCTCATTGGATTGGGAGGTAACCTTACACAGTTATAGGATTCTACGTGTTAGCCTCAAAAGACTAACTGAGTTTCCAATCTGTGAAATTAGAGCTATGTATCAATTGCATCACCGATCTGCCATTTAGCGAAGCTTTAGTAAGCCAAAAAAATAAAAGTATCCTCTCGCGTCACCTTTCCGAGGAAATAAAAGATTGAATTTGAATGAATAATACCCAACAATGCGAAGACATGAAACATTCCAATTTGAATTAAATGCTTTTCGTTGCATTTGAATAGTTGGATTCAGTGAATCCCATATAAAATGCACTTACGAGGAGTCAAATGTGTTATGAGCGTACATGTAAAAGATGAATTCATAATAATGTCAAGTACAACAAGTGTCTTGATTTTGAAATTGATTGAGTAACGGAAAAAGAGAAAATTATCCAAAAAGTCCTAAACTTATTGTATGATGGCCAATTCAATTATAAACTTTTCAATTTTATCAATTTAATCCTAAGGCTTTAGAGGATTTGCCAATTAAGTCATCCCGGCCAATTTAGCCCAACATATGCTTACGTGGATACCTAGTCAGTGGACGGCCGGCTCTGAGGTGGACACTAGATATCAAAACGATGCCATTTTCCTAAACATAGCCATTCCATACATAATAAAAAGGACCCCTGAAGAATATCAAAACGGGTTCACTCAACTCTTTCTTTTTCCAAATCCCTCGATTGCTCTCTCGCCCAATCTTCCCCAAATTCGAAGAATTCTAATTGCGAACTACCCGAAATAGCTCTCAAATTTTGCCTCAAATCTGATTCCAACACTCGCACATCACCTTCACCTAGATTCACCCGGTGCTCGCTCAAAGGCTTTGCCCAAATTTGCCGGACGCCTTAGCCCAGATTTGCCTATCCAAGCCGCGAATTACAAAGGAACCACAGAGGTAATTCATGAGCACGCAAAGTTTCCGATGCAGAATTTGATGAGATTCGAACTATTTGATGAAGTCTTCCTTTGGACTCTCGCTTTAGTGGGCTGATTGAGTTCAAAACACGTAGGTCCATTTGATTTCAAAAGTCCCCTTTGTGATCTATGCTCATTGGCTTTATTGAGTTCATTAGAGCACCTGCTATTAAGTTCATTGAATATCTTTTTTCTTTGAAGTGAGGGTAGCATGTTTGCATTCGAATTATTCAGATTGATGAGGAGGAAAGATCCAGCGGAAGGCTAGAATCTGGGCTATACATTCTTCAGGTTAGCACTACCCTTTGATCTATCAAATGTAGATTCGTTGACCAGGCCAGTTAATTTGGATTGTATTTACATGAATTAAACAGTGGACGGGTATGGTATTTGGATGTTGTGTAGTCAGTATAAATGGGATAATAAAATAGTGCTGTGACAAAGCACAATTCCTATTGATGGATTATGAGTTTATGGATGTGGGCAACCCATGTTGGGCTAACCCGGCCCATGACTCATCATGAGGGCCCATCTCAAGTAACTGCTCCGGCAGTTACTTACGAATCGTGTAACTGCCCTTAGCAATTCAAAAAACAATAGGGAAAAGATCGTAATTTAGAGAATATCGTGTTTTTAAGAAAAAGTGATAAGAAAACGATGTTATGCTCTCTTCCCTGACGTACGTACGACCCAACGAGGAACTCTCACGCCTACAATTGGTAGCATTTAATCTTTGAAAACAAGGTATGTTCGTTGTGTGATATACCTATTCGATTAGCATTTGTAGGTTTTCCTGGGCATGTTTCTCGATTGTTCGAGTTTCGATATTTATGAACTGTTTCTTGACTATTCAAGTTTCGTTTTATTTAGGAATCCGTTTCCTTCAACTGTCTTGTCTAGTTGCAATGCATGTCCTGAGAAGCCCACTTTGTAAGCATCGTGCATTTACTTTGAAGATTTGAGAAAATGTAAATAAAGTTTCAGAAGAGCAATACAGGATGATGCTCTCATATGGTGCACCTGGAATTTTCAGGTACTTTTGACTTACTTTCGAAGAGTTCAGTTTTGCAATCTGGCTCTTCTGCAAAAGGATGTCACGCTTAAACTTATGATTTTTGTTTGAGACACGATCAAGACAATGTTCATCTTCCTTCATCAAACTTAAGCAACTTTAACTTGACTAAATGAAGTATCGGGATGGACTCCTGCCTGCAGAGGGGAATAGGTCGACAAATGCCATGTTCTTAACATTGCAACAGACACTTTTTCAAGTTTGCATGCAATCTAATTTATATATCATTCAGATTTTAACTTATATCCTTAATTTAGTTGCTATCCAGAGGCTCCTAGAAAATATAAAAATGACTATTAAGTGGCTACTTTGGTTACTCTTAGTCTTATATCTGTAGGCGTGTAATGATGCTGAATAGATGTGCTGCAGGAGTTATCGTTGTGCTTGGACTTGGAACTGCTCTTCGGCTTGTCCTTCAATTCTGCCATTTGTGAAGCTTGAGAACGAATGAGAATTTTGGGTAGAGGTGTCAACGGTTTGGTTACCGACTTGAACCGAACATGATTGTTGCATGTTTATTGCGATTCGAATTATGACCCAAACCGCATAAAACAAGAACCGAAAACACTGTTTGGTGCAATTCGGATCGGATCGGGCTCTCAGGGTCATTTTTTGTGGGTTCTCACGTACTCCCCTTCTCTCCCTCTCCTTGCCCACTTTTGGAATAAACGACCAAAAAATGAATCTTTTGCACTGACCTCCTTCCTCTTGCTGTGCTTCTCCACGAACGGCCATAAGACTGATCCTTTTTTCTCTGCCATGCTTTAGTCGAGCCGTAGCAATCGTCCCTTGCCCCTGATGTTGCCAGCGACCCCGTGGCCCACCTCGGAGCTTGACAGCAAGAACCGAGCTACCTAGATCCATCTCATGC